CCAGTCTTACCCAGGGCCAGGGTTTTCCTCAGGTAGGCAATGTCATCAAAGCTCTGCAGTTCAGGCATCCCGCAACCCAGCATAAGGGAGAAGAGATTGATGAAGAGGCTGGCGTGCTGACGGATGGCGAGGTATGCTTTGTAGCACATCTCCTGGAACCTAAACAGGTAGACAGAGAGTGAGGCGGGCTCAGAGGGAGACAGGAGGAGGTGCAAAGAGGAGGGACAGGGCACCTCTCGAACTCCTTGGTCTTGGTGGACTCCTGGATGCCTTTACTAATGACGATGAGGAAGTCCTGAGTAAGGACAAAGGGTACACGCTCCCTCTTGTAGCCAAATTTCTTCTTCTTGTGATCCAGGAAGTGACCAAAGTCAATGTGGAACAGCTGGAGGAGGCAGACAAAGAGTTAGGCGGCTGCAGTCCCAGGAAGAGCTGTCAGGGCGTGGGGTCAGAGGCTCACCTGTCCATTCTCTTTCACCATAATGTTGGAGTTGTGGCGGTCTCCGATTCCCAGGATGAACGTGGCAACGCAGTAACCAGCACATGAGCGCGTGAACAGGTCGATGGCCCGATCGTACCTGTGGGACAGACAGGAAGTGAGCAGAGGGCAGACAGGTGTTCATGCAAACAGGTGTGCAGAGGGGTGTGCTCACGCTTCGCCGCGGTTCTTGTCTTTGATCCAGTGATGCAGCGTGTTGGAGTTGAACTGCAGCGCCCCCTTCAGGCCTCCCTTGCACTGAATCTGCATGATGGTGAAGCTGTTCTTCACAACCTCAATCAGACCCACGCAGTCACCGATGGAGAGGCATCCATAGGGCAACATGCTAATACACAAACACACGCTCCGTTAGCCAGGTGTCGGTGTGATGTCACAGCTAATGTCACGGGCTCTCACCGCAGGTCCAGACCCTGGTTCTGCCAGATGTTCTCCATGATTTTAATAATCTGCAACGTTAGCATATCCTGACGCAGGTCTGTAACAGAACACACTACGTTACCCACAGTGCCCTGGCACAGCTGTAAACAGCAGTAATACAGTTAGCGCCAAACTCGTTACCATCTCCGTTCTTGAAGATGATCTCGTTGTTGGTGAAGAGAAGCTCGGACATGATGTCAGGGTTTTCCCAGTTCAGCCACAGGGGGCGCTTTGCCGAGGACATGATCCTGCACTCCTCCAGCCTAAAAGCACACAACACTTTTTAAACACTGTTTTACTTTGTTGTTTTTCAAGCCTGAAAACACGCTGATGCAGTCAGGAAGCTCTTTAAAGAATAAAACACTTAAAGTCGGTCAATATGCAGATGAATCACGTTTATATTTAGAAAACCCCACATTTCACTACCAAGAGCTATAAATATCCACACTGATCTTAGTCATAGTCACACACACTAAAAGATCTGGTCGTGCAATGATCGGTCAGGTAGGAAGTCATGCAGTTATTTAACCAGTTATGCCTACCTGAGATTTCCCAGCTGGTGAACTGGATTCAGTGGAGAGACGAATCCCTGCAGAGCTTCCATGTAATCTGGACGAGACATGTGCTCAACCAGAAACTTCATCTGAGTCTGACAACCAATCGCAGTACAGAAACACACGTCACCGTCAGCCAATCACAAGTCAGATTTAAGTTGCTTTGTTTGTTTTCATACTTTCTGAGTCTCGTCCTTCTTCTCCTGCTTCAGTGTGTCGGTCAGATTCACCAGTTTATCCATGGCCTCTACCTGCACACACACACGACACACACACACACACACACACACACACACACACCACTCACACACACACACACACACACACACACACACACACACACACACACACACACACAGCACACACCACACACACACACACACACACACCACAGCACACACACACACACACACACAACACACACACACACACACACCACGCACACACACACACACACACACACACACACACACACACACACACAGGTGTGTTAGTAGCTCAGTTATACAAACGAGCAGGTGAGAGAAGCTTCGTTAATCACTGACACTGCTGTTTCACTCTGCTGCTCTGTGTTATTTTCACGCTCTATTCTGTGTTTAACCACCTAATATTTTTCCAGCATGATACTTCCTGTGAGTATGTGTCCATGCTTCTGATTGGTCTTCCAAGGCTCCCTGGTTCCTGTGAACTATCTCACAGGTAGACTGATAAATCCTGGGCTGAGACACACTTTTGTTGTGTGGTGATGGTCTTAGGTTAAGAAAAACTAGATAAGGAGCTCATGTTGAACTGGACTCAGAAGACCAGGTGTGTCAGGGCTCACCTGTCTGTTCAGGTGCTTCAGGTACATCCCGCAGGCTCTGCAGAAAGCTTCCAGCAGCAGACCGAAGCGTCGGGAAACCGTCTTGTTGTGCATCTCTGACCTGCGAGAACACTTCCTGTTAGATTAAAAATGGCCAAACAAACCTGTTAGATCCCTCAGGTAAACACCAGGACATTTGCACTCACTTCAGGTGCCAGAAGAAGAAGTGCCCTATCCTCTGATTGGTCAGAGCTTTCTTTATCAGGAAACGGGCCAGAGGATTGTCCAGGTACATCTCATACTTCAACACCTGCAGAAAAGACCATGAGACAAAAGACGAAAGATAAGTGTATGTATGTGACAGTATACAGACAGGTGCTGCAGAGGACTGTGTGAGGCACACAGCAGCAGGTGTGCAGACCCTTTACCATTTACCATTACCACACGCACCTGTACAAGTTGCAACAGGTACTGCGACAGCTTGTCATCCGTCAGGCCCTGCACGAGGCAGCGCAGCGCAAACTCTCGGACCATCGGGTCGGGAAAGTTACAGTCCAACAACTCGAGAGCCGACTCGGGCTCCATCAGAGGCCACTCCTTCAACAGACAGTACATCTGAGGGAGGGGACAGGTGACAGAGAGACAGGTGAGTCAAAGTGAGGGTTTGAAGCATTTTTCCCTGACTGTGATGGGAAGTTCGGTACCTGAGAAACTTCGTCTCTGGAGTTCCATTTGACAGAAAGAAGCAGCTTAGGGAGAGACTCTGGGATGTTTACACAGTAATGTCTGCAGAGATACAGACAGGCAGAGACACAGGTAGACAAATGGGGAGAGACAGGTAGACAAGGCCGGTGGACAGGAACATGCACAAACAGAGAGAGTCACGTGAAGCTGCCAGACATCTAAAATCAGACAGACAGAAAGGTCCAGAAAGTTTCTGTGTCAAAGATCACGTTAGGTAAATCTGGGACTATTTAGACCTGTTCAAATGTACCTGGATCAGAGGTTTAACTGTGGGTTCAGAACGTCACAGCGTTCAGAGGACATGCCTCCAAAAATACACCTGCAGGGTGTTCACTCCATTACATTCATTCTCACCTGTGTCTCCAGAGGAAGTCCTTCTCCTGCTCCGAGAGCTCGTACAGCGGATCTCTGGAGCAGAGAGAGCGAAGCTGCTCGGCATCGCCTGACGAAACACTGCTGTCACAGGCCAAACGGCTGCTCTGAGGGAGAGGTGAGAGACGGGTGAGAGACAGGTAGTCTGAGGCAATCGCTGAGTCTTCTGTATTTGGATCTGAGTCACAGGTAAACACTGACAAACTAAAACACACAACAACATCAGAAACACAAACTGCACAGGACTGCTGCTGCTCTTCGGTCGAGATGAAACCTATAAAGATTACACCACAATTCCCAAAGAGGCAAAAAAGAAGCCAAAGGCAAAACAGCTGGAGAACAGCTGGAAAGCAACTGTGTTCACTTTGAGGAAGACCCCGAAGAAGAGCACTGTTAATGGAAGGAGAGCACACAGGAAACCACTACCGATAGATAAGAGGATCTTTGTAGAAGACCTCTGTAGAAGATCTTTGTATAGGACCTCTGGTAGAGGACCTCTGTAAGATTGTAGAGGATCTTTGTAGAGGACCTCTGGTAGAGGATCTTTGTAGAGGACCTCTGTAGAGGATCCTCTTGTAGTCTGGAGGAGTAGTCTTAGACTTGTAGAGGACGGAACTTTAAAACTTGTAGAGGATCTTTGTAAGACCTCTGGTAGAGGACCTCTGTAGAGGACCTTTGGTAGAGGACTCTTTGTAGAGGATCTTTGTAGAAGACACTGTAGAGGATCTTTGTATAGGACCTCTGTAGAGGACCTCTGTAGAGGACCTGTGGTCTGAGGATCTTTGTAGAGGACCTCTGGTAGAAGATCTTTGTAGAAGAACTCTGTAGAGGATCTTTGTATAGGACCTCTGGTAGAGGACCACTGTAGAGGACCTTTGTAGAGGATCTTTGTAGAGGACCTCTGGTAGAAGATCTTTGTAGAGGACCTCTGGTAGAGGACCTCTGTAGAGGATCTGTAGAGACCTCTGTAGAGGATCTTTGTATAGGACCTCTGTAGAGGACCTGTAGAGGACCTTTGTAGAGGATCTTTGTAGAGGACCTCTGGTAGAGGACCTCTTAGAGGACCTCTTTAGAGGATCTTTGTAGAGGACCACTGTAGAGGACCTCTGTAGAGGACCACTGTAGAGGACCTTTGTAGAGGATCTTTGTAGAGGACCTCTGGTAGAGGACCTCTGTAGAGGACCTCTTTAGAGGATCTTTGTAGAGGACCTCTGGTAGAGGACCTCTGGTAGAGGACGTGGTCTGAGGATTTCACACACACACCAAACCTCAGGGGGCAGAGAGGGAGTTTTTAATGTTGTAGTTACCAGGCCGTGGCAGTAGTTGTAGCCCAGCTCTCTGCTGATGGTCCAGTTGGCGTGCTCTTCAATCTGCTGCTCGTCAGGAAAAACAACGATCTGATTGAACCAGGAGAACTCCAGCTCCACGCAGGGGGTCTCCTGCAGACCACAACACCATCATTAAATACTTACTTCAGGATCAGACACACTTCTACTGTCTGAGAGAACTTGTTGGGCACCTTGTTGGGATTTGAACCCGCGACTCCAATGGGGTTGAGCAGGTCCTCTAGGCCATGGGGAACAGGCCACAGGCTGAGAGCCACCTTACCACAGACCAGGATGTCCTTGTAGTCAAACAGGTTTACATTCCCCCAGGCCAGAGGGCAGTGCTCCTGTGAGACAGGTGAGACAGAGGATGTGTCCTGGCTCCTCCCCTTCTATCGAGCATGCATCGATGGTCATTTCACCTGATGTAAAATGTGCTGTTCTTATTTAAACAGCTGACTCTGAATTGAATCTAACAATAAAAATAATTAAATCCAGGAGGAAACAAAAACAGCATGTTGATACGAGGAGATCCTGACGGCTGCTCCAACAATGATCTGATTATATTTGAAGAATTAGTTCAGTTCTCTTCCAAACCCCGGCAGCTGTCTGTGGTAGGTTTAAGTATCTACTAAAATAAAATAAAAGCTTTCTAACCTCTTTGTTTCTATTGAATAAGCAGCATGAACTGTGCATACATGTGTACAGCTTTTAGCTGTTCACATCTGACTGTGAAGCAGATGATATGTAAAAGGGCATTTTGCAAAATACTTTAAAAAGATTTTTTCCTTAAAGAAATCGATTACTTTGTGCAGTTTTTTATGTCATGTGTAATTTCCATTGCGCATATCAATCACAGTTAAATTAAAGGGTGGTGACAGTGGAAACAATGGAGCTGAGCTGTGATGTCATCAAGTACACGCCCGTTCCAACATTAGAACGATCGCCGCGTCCTCCAGTTCTCAGGAACTCCAGATTCCCGTGGGAACTTCAGAAGCACGAGTGGGACGAGTACGGACTTGCGTACTTGAGTACTGAGAAACGACCTGAGACAGGTTCAACCAGCAGTCTTACTACACAGATCACTGTACACCCTTCTTTCCTACCTCCTTAGCTCCTTTCCTTCCCTTCACAGAACAGATAGACAGGCAGAGTCTGGCTGAACGAGGGAGGTCAGCCAGGTAGATGTCATAGGTCAGCCACTCATTCCACCTGAAGACAGACAGGTAAGAGTTAGGTGCAGGTAAAAGGAGCGACAGGAGGGGGGCCGATGTTTTAACGTGTGTGTTTGGGTGTGTCGTACCTGGGGTTGGAGCAGGGCACTCTCTGGGTGTTGACGTTGTCACAGAGCGGCTCTCCTCCGTGATAGATCCCTGTCCTCACATAGATCTACACACACACAACAAAATCCTATCTGATGTTTTGGATTTATATCACATGCAAGGGTGGGACTGATCCAACCATCCACCCAAACATCCAGACATCTAATCCAGTCCAGTGCTCCCTCTCTCCAGCTCAGAACCTCTGCAGAGTCCTGGGTCTCCTCCTGCTACGACCCTGTGAGTCCTTCTTTGAACATTAAAGCTTCTCAAAGCACGTAATAATTACCTGAGTCAGGGCTGATGCTTGATCATGATAACACCTGTTAGACCCCACATGTGACGCGGCAGGTCCAGGCAGCGAGTACCGACTCACCTTATCGATGTCTCTGATGTTCACGTTCACGTACGTGGCGCAGAGCAGCCGGACTCTCAGCAGAGTGTTGAAGGCCCACAAGGAGCGAGGAGGAGAACCGTCGCCTCCTCCTGGACAGGGAGACGGCTGAGGAGTCCGACGGCTGAAACACACACAGCTCAAGTCACCTCCTGTCCTGTGATACCTGCAGGTGTGACACCGTGACGGCCATACCTGTAGGAAGGCGTGACGAAGCCTGAGGCGGGAAGCTGAGAGTAGAGGCTGTCTTTGGACACGAGCATCAGGTGAGGAAGACGTCCCACGATGATGCAGGAGCGGATGTACTGCAGACACACAGGTGAGGAACTGAAGATCACCCAATCCTGGATGACACTTTAAGCTCACGTTGGACAGTCTCACCTGTCCTGTACATGTGAACTATGGGCAGCAGGTAGGTCAGGTGTAGGACAAACTGTGACAGGTGCAGTGAAGCCACAGGATCAGCTGTTACCTTATACTGACTGAGAGGAAACTTCTCCAGCAGGTACTCATCGCAGCCACACACCTGAGAGGCACACAGGGAGGGAGACAGGTGAGTCGTCAGGTGTGGGGGCAGACAGGTAGACACAGACAGACAGGCGTACCTTAAGGATGTACTGGCCCTGGTACTCCTGAACGCAGAGGCGGAGCTGCTGAGGTGAAAGGTGCATCGATCGGCTTTTCTTCCTGATGGACTCGGCGATCAGCTGCTCAGGTAAACTGTCGTGACTAACCTGCACACACACACACACACACACCTGGTGACTACCTCACTTCCTGTTCTGATTGTTTCAGGAAGCAGCTCAGTGTCCAGGTTTACCTTCAAGGTGTACTTCTGTTTGGAGTTTGATGGAGACACGATCACCCAGATGGTCACAATCAGGCGCCCTGCACAGACAGGTACAGGAAGTCAGACAGGTATACAGCACCGCTACCAAAAAACAGATTGATTCATAACATCGGGAAAAGACCCAGGGAAACCGAGCTAACAATATAAACAATATAAAAACGATAAAAACCCTGAAAGCCTCGACTCTTGCGACCCAAACGACTCACAGACCGGTACTGGTCCAGGACCTGGGGGTGGGGGCGGCTGTGCTTGTAGCCTAAGTGAAGCAGACGCATAACTTAACAATACTGCAGCTTCCTTGAATGGATTCAAGGTGCAACAGGGAATTCGGCAAGTCATGTCCTGTTTCCCCTAAGCTTTTTATATTGGCAACTCAGTTGTTAACACTAAAATGACATACAAGGAATATCAATTTTTAATAAAGACTTCAAAATAAGTCAATTCACAGATGATAAGTCTATTTTTTTGAAAGAAATGCGAGGTAGAGAAAACTAAAGCTTCTACCTCCCTACCCTCACCTATGGCCACGAGCTGTGGGTAGTGACCGAAAGAACGAGATCGCGGATACAAGCGGCAGAAATGAGCTTCCTCCGAAGGGTGGCTGGCCTCTCCCTTAGAGATAGGGTGAGAAGTTCGGCCATCCGGGAGGGGCTCAGAGTAGAGCCAGCTGCTGCTCCACATCGAAAGGAGCCAGCTGAGGTGGTTCGGGCATCTGACAAGGATGCCCCCTGGGCGCCTCCTGGGTGAGGTGTTCCAGGCATGTCCCACCGGGAGGAGGCCCCGGGGCAGACCCAGGACACGCTGGAGAGTTAGGCTACGTTCACACTGCAGGCGAAAGCGCATCAAATCCGATTTTTTTGACCCTATGCGACCCATATCCGATCATGGTATGACAGTGTGAACGGCACAAATCCGATATTTTCAAATCCGATCTGGGTCACTTTCGTATGTGGTCCTGAATCCGATACATATCTGATGTTTTAGAAAGCGACTGCTGTTTGAATGGTCATGTCGCATTAAATCCGTCTTTTACGTCACTGACACAAGACAGACGCCAATTATCAGCGCCGGAGAAGACATCGCGAACGCTTCCTGGCCATCCAGTGTAGATGTCAGTGAAACTGTTGGGAAGACAACGTTGGAGAAACGTGAACATTTTATTTGTACTGTATAATCTGCAGATTCTGACAGAAATCTGCAGCTATCCTTTGAAGCACCGCTCCTCTAAAACAGCAATAAGGATCATTATTAGGTTATTTACATTATTATGTAAATAACAAAATAACTTAAAGCAAAAATTGGGAAACGTGAAGTCTGAAGTCTTTATATTAAGGCCATCAGTCAAACATACTGTTGCTCTGGGTCTAAACAGAGCGCGTGACGTCCTCTTTTGCGCACGTGGCCGCTTTGAGCGTTCACACTAGAGAGCGTTTGCTGTCGCATTTTATTTGTGGTGGCTGTGGAGAGGGAGGTCTGGGCTCGTTTATCTCTCAGTATCAAAAAATGTGAACCCGATTCATACAAGCTCTGACTCCTCAAGTTAAATATATAGGGCTGATAATATCTAAAAAACCCAATTAGCAGAAAAGACACTAACATTTCTAACTGTATCATGGAGATGAAGAAATCACTCGGCCACTGGTTAACCAGAGACTCGCTATTTTTGGCAGAAACATCCTGTCTAAAGCTGGAGGCATCTCCAAATTGACTTATCCTTGTCCCTCTGTATCTCTCCTCTAAAAGCATTAAGACAGAAAAATGTTGTTATTTTATTTATTTATTTTCTAGTCATGTGTGTTTGTCTTATTTTTGTGTTGTATTTGCAATGTTTTTTTGTATTTTTTATTTTTGTGTGTGTTTGGGTTTTTTTTGTTTCTGTTGTTTGTTTTTTCTTTTTGTTTTCTTTTGTTTTATTTGTTTTCCTACCTGGCCTGAGGGATAGGGGTTCTAAGTGGTATGGGTAGGGGGTAAACTGGTGTAAGCAATTACTAGACATGTGAGTGTGTCATTAATCTGTGTTCTAATATTTCAGTCCAAACAGTCACTGTGAAACTTGTCTGTTGTTGAACAATTCTGTGTGTATCTGTTTTTCTTTGTTGCTTTAAATCAATAAAAATATCTTTGAGAAAAAACATTAACACAGTTATTTTCCAATTTTTGTGGAGGAATAAAACCCATGACATAGAAAGATCCCTGAGCAGTTATAGACTCATGTTACTTATGTATTTTTGGTGTTGCTCCCCCTTTTTCTCTGTGCTTGTACATATGTGTGTGTGGGTGGCTGTGTGTCTGAGCACTCGTTTATAGGCGCCGTCAGGCCTGGTGGGTGTGGCCCTGCTAGGGGACTGGCCACACCCGAAGCCACGCACCTGCTGCTGATCAGGCCTCGTCAGGGGAGCTACTTAAGAGAGTCTTGGAGCTGACGTGGGATCATTTTGTGAGACTTCCTGGCAGTTCTCCAGCTGGTCTGTTTGTGTGAGCCTACCTGTGTAGCTGAGGGCACTAACGGCTGCCTCTGTTTTCCCAGGAGGATTGCTGGAACTAGAGGGCAGCAGACACACGAGCACAAACACTGGGAGGAGACACGGAGTGGGGAGCACACGGGGATGTATTATTGTACAGTTTTCACTGTAAATAAAGAGCACTGCTTGCATCACAGAGTACCGCAAACACTGCTCACATCCCCACGGTCTGCCAACACAGACCGTGACAATACAGGTGGTATCAAAGCTCCAGAATTAGAATTTATGGATGGCACCATTAGAATTAAATGGTTAAAACCTTGTCTGTCACAGCCAGACTCTACATAGATCCCATGATCCTTGTTTAATAAAATAGGAGGATCGGACTTTATTTTGAAATGTGATTTTGAGGCAAATAAAATCCTGATCAAGATATCAAACTTTCCAAAACAGACTTTTTTGGAAAATGAGATTTACCCACAACTTCTCCTCATAATTCAGCCTTATGGAATCATAGGGTAATAACACTTAATCAAAAATCTATTTTCAACAGTGACTGGTTAAACAAAAAGACTATATTCATGACAGATTTGTGGATGATAGCGGTGTCATTCTCAGTTACAGACCTTTCAGAAAAATATTGTCTAAACTCAAAGAGAATATAACACATTTAGTGCACTGGTCCCACTGCCTCGGCTTCATTTCATTAAAAGTTTATCATATACAATAATTTCTCATCAGTGCTCCCAAATTTATTGCCAGGGCAATGTCAGCTGTTTGAGAAAAATGCAATAAGAGTATAATTAGTAGATTCTTCAAAGACAAAATATGTCATAGTTACAACAGGATGGTTACATGGTTCTAATGTAGTTGTTTCATATACACTGGATAAAGTGTACTGAAAATGATGAAATAGCCTCTTCTACCTAAAGTTACAGAAACACACTTTAATCCTGTGGCAGAATTTCTAATAAAGAGCTTTGGCTTTGAGGTGGATCAGTGTTGTTTTTGTACTGATGACAGTGAAACCCTAGAACATCTTTTTTTTTGCCCCATCACACAATGTGTTTGGTGCAACTTAAAAAATTTCCCTAAATATTAATGATGTGCCACTATTTGCATTACATCATAGATTTTTTTACATGGATCATCTGCATTGGGTGTCTCAGACATGATTACCATCATCATACTTGTGAGTAAACATCATTGTGCTACATGGAGGAGCGCTGAGCTTCTCTCCCTGGTTTTATTGATGATTTTAAGATTGTCTTTGCTAAAAAAGACAAAAAGCACACATGCCAAATAAATAACCAGGATAATGCCGTCTGCTGTTCTAAATGTGACTCGTGCTGGGGCTCATATACTGTTAAGTAATGCAGCTGCTTCACTTAGGCAGGTTGCTGAGGAGACATCTGTGCAGTGGTTTGTTTGAAATCTACCACTTTTTCCTTCAGTTTCCTTGTCAAGAAACAACTTCCTGTTCAACTGAAACAACTTCCTGTTCAACTGAAACAACTTCCTGTTCAACTGAAACAACTTCCTGTTCAACTGAAACAACTTCCTGTTCAACTGAAAGGTTTTTCAGTAGTGAGAGTGTTTCAGTAATAATGTCCCTCACGGCACCTCACACAGGAGAGACAGGTCCAGGGGGGCTCTGGGCCCAGCAGGTGTGGGAGTACCTTTGTCCAGCTTGCTATAGATGTGCTGGGGCAGCTGGGGACTGGACTCCACGTTGGGGGGGTAAACGTAGAGCGCCTGGCTGTGGGCCCCCCCTCCTTCCCGTTCCTCCATGGCCTCTCTGCACACGCTCAGTATGGAACGGCGGAAGTCCTGGACCTCCGGGTCCTTCATCATCTCAAACTCGCAGACCGGCATCCCGATGGCGAAACCTGTGGGGGGAGGAGTCTGACTATGAGGTCATAGTGTGATTACATGTGATGGGGCGTTCCCTTACCGATCTCACGGTTCAGGATTTTCTCCTCACGGTTGCCGAGGGGCTCGATGACCTTAAGGATGGGGTGGAACAGGCGCAGGTCGCACAGCCGCCTCGTCTCATCGTAAAACTCCTCCCTCTCAGCCTCCTGGGTCACGCCCACAAAGATGTAGCACGACTCCTCCTGGCCAATCGGAGACCGGAATTTATAGTTGGACTGAGATAGAAGGAAGGGGCGGGGTCAAAGTTAAGAGCGTATACCTGCAGCAGGTGGTACAGGGGGTACTTCCTGGCCTCGGAGAAGAGCTGCTGCTTGATACTGATGAGAGGAGTTTCCCTCAGACACTCCAGGCTAACCATCATACCTGAGGAATGTCATGGAAACAGCATGAAAACGCCATGGAAACGCCACGGAAATACAATCCAACAGAAACACAAATATTACAGGTGAGCTGAAAAAGGACGAAGGTAAGCCTGTACGAGTGACGCTTGTGTTCAGCCTCAAAAACAAAGCTGTGACGTCATGATGTCATCTGTTGTCCGACATTATGACGTCACAGAGCTACACCCAAGCTTACATCCGCCCGTGGCTGTACCGTTAGGCAGGCAGCAGTCCACCAGGATCCGGGGGGGCATCAGGTGGAGCCCCCATAGTTCCCCTGACGATGGCCTGGGCACCATGGTAACCAACAGTCACACCTCACCTCAGTGCTGGGCTACCTGTGAAAAGAGAGAGAGCTGCAGCTCAGCACAGGGCAAACAGCAGGGGTCAGAGGTCACTCTGGAACAATTCCACAGGTGCAGCTGTTGGGAGAGGCCCGTACCTGTGGGCGGAGTCCTGTAACCTGAAATTAGACTTGATAAAACAAGAAAGTGAGACTAATTTTGATCACGTCTTGGCCTCCTCTTTAGCCCCGCCCCCTCTTTGCTTGGGTTTGTTTGTCCTCTCTGATAACAGGAGGTTTGTCAGAGAGTGAGCCGGTGTCCTCCTACGAGCCGTAACGATGTTCAGAGGACGGTGTGTCTATGAACAGCTGCAGTTAGCAGAAATAGCATCCTCCTAAAAATCTGTATGAGTTTCTATGGTAACATGTTACATGCATCATAATGAAAGTGTCACATCACAGGCCACGCCCATATGAGAACACCTGGAAAAAAACAGGTGCTACAGCTGCTGGGTCACATGATCCTCAGCTAAAGTGAACAGATGCTGAATGAACAGAGCAGCTTCACTGACGGAGCGTTTGTATTGGTCCACAGGTAAAGTGGGAGGGCTAATGTGTGTTAGCTGAGCACAGGTGATCTGATGTTCGCTGAAAACAGGGAGACGGTTTATCAGTGAAGAGGACAACGACAGAGGAGGCTGGGTTCAACCAAAAGCAAGAGGTTTATTATGGCTAAAAGCAAAATAAACGAAGAACAACCATGACAACCTAGCCTGGGGAAACCAAAACAGAAATCATCACTGGAATTTATCGAGGAAACCTGGAAACAAAAGGAGGGACCGCTGGAGATTTGCAGACGCACTGACACAATGTATACACACAGGAGGAAGAAACACACGGAAAAACAGCTGGAACGAATTCGACTAAATGAGACGGGGAGGCAAAAACCACAGCGCTGAACGTGGGACGCAAGACTGTCAAAATAAAACAGGAAACCCTGAGAGGCAGACTTAAGACACACAGGCTTGACACATCACAAGATGGACAAACAGGGAGTCAAGGATGAGACACAAGGAGAGGAACAGAGGAAACACACTGACACGACTAAGACACAAAGACACGATGGACTCTTACACACACTGAAGACACAGCTCAAGCACACTTGGTCCACACTGAGAGTGGGGTCGTCCTGTAATCTCTTACGAACTACGCTTCCCTGACTGGGATGCAAGTGGAGACAGATGTAACGTGGTACGAGACCATCATGACACCTCTCACCTCAGGGTGTGGTGTTCAGAGCCCAGCAGCAGGTTGATCGAAGCCAGAAACCTGGAGATGCTGTAGGCGACTGAGCTGATCGCACAGAAAGCTTGTCTTAGAGGTGCAGCCTGTTAAAATGTCTCGATCACGCTCAGTGTAAGTACATCCTGCAACGCTGTGAGGTCAGTGTGTGATCAACTCTCTGTGAGTGGTTCTCAGAGCTGTGGTCAGTTTGCAGATTAACGATCACAAGCTGACCTCCCAGTTCCTTCAGTGGGCTGGTTCCAGTCATTGTGCAAACGGCCTGTTTAAAGGAAACCTGCAGTCAGCTGAGACTGAAGAAGTCAGCTGATGATGATGATGATGAAAGGTTTCTCCCACTGAAACGTCCTGATGACCAGAATCACCCTTTGAGGTCTCAGATTATTCACTGTCAGATTAGACGTCTTCAATCGTCATCTGATAACATCTGCGGAGCAGTGACACCTCTGTGAAAGAAGAGTCACGTGATCCATGAAACGCTCCTTCTAGATTGGTCAGATGCTGCGGCCCCGCCTCTTCATGCAAGTGCGCAGCTAGAACCATGATTTAACTTAAGAGCCACCCTGGGTGACCGAGAGCCGTCACAGACATCCTCATGTGCTGCTGTTGTTGTTCTCCAACCAGGCCGTCAAACAAAGGAAATAGGACACGCGCACACACACGCACACACCACACACAAACACACGCACTCACACTCACACCCACGCACACACACACACACACGACAGGACGCAGACGATCGCGCTCAGCGAAGCTGGAGAAGGGTGTTCCATACTACACAGCACTGCTGCTATAATAGCGCGGCTGGTCGACGACGAGCACCGCCGACGAGCGAACGAAAGGAAGGTGCTGCCAACCAGGAGCATTGGACGAGCAGCTGCACGACCACGGTTCATCAACGGTCGACACACACACGCAGCAAGGACGTCATGACTAAGACACGAGCACTGCTACAAGACAACGACGAACGCCGCTGCACGACTCAGCGCACACACATACACTCGACGATACAAACCTGGACAACACAACAACACGCGCTACACCGCACACAACACGCACTGCACACAACACATCAGTCGCAAAGACACTAGATGTGCACTCACTAGCTGGTACATCAGCACACAGACGCACACACCACGCCGGTGCGAAGAACCACACCGCACAACGCAGAAAGTTGCCGTCGAACCACTGGTATCAGATGTTGTTTTCACACACAAACACACATCTGCTACTACACACGCAGTAAGGCACGGTACAATACGTACATGGCAGGACAGTCGAACACGAGCACACGCTACACAAGCCAATACGGAACACGCCACATGCCCACGCACACACACAGACACACACACACACAGCGCGCGCACACACACGCACACACACACGCACACGCGCACACACACACGCACTCACACACGCACACACACACGCACACACACACACAGTCAGGACAAAGCAGGGGTGTGTGTGTGTGTGAGGAAGCAGACTTCCTGGGGTTGTTTTCCTGTTGACCGGCTGCTTTAATGCAACAGCAGTTATTTCTCTCAGAGTCTCAGAGCATGACGAGGCGGTCAGAGGTCAGAGGTCAGCTCCTGCTGTGAGGAGCTCACACTGTCTGTGTCACAGACTCCTGCAGAGGAGAAGATGGAGGAGCTGGCGCAGAGGAAGCGACCTGTGAACCAGGGCTGCTGGTTTGAATCCCGTAGGTCACCGTGGGCAGAAACACGACGATGAATGAAGCGCTGAGAGGTCAGAGGTCAAAGTATCACTGAGGATCAAAACAAACCAGCCAAGATTCTAAACGACCAACCTGAGGAGGTCCAAACACATCCCAGACTCTGATCTAACGGACAGGAGAGCATTTCTGACAGAACCAGCAGCACTTAAAGAGATGCAGAGGGAACCCCAGAGAACCCCAGAGAACCTCAGAGAACCTCACAGAGAGCTACGTCCACACCAACCACAGGTCTAAACAGAGAACCTCAGACAGGTGTAAACAGGTTTTAACAGTCTGAACAAGAACTCTGCTGCTGTTGTTCCACAGTGATGTCTGATTTCAGAATAAAATAAACATTTTTTATATATTTTACAAACAGGTTTGAGGAATTTTCACAATAAAGTTCTAAAAAGATTCAAAGCTGTAAATGAGTCAGGATGCTTTATCATGTAAGTGTGGACGTTCATCGATCACGAGGCTGCTGTCAGCAGGAAGCTGATCATGCTGTTTGTTTATTGTGAAAATCTCAGCTGCAGCTGAAACAAACAAAAGCTCTACAGTCACGTGACCCGCAGACGTCTGATGACATCACGCAGGT